AAACTCCTAATTTATTCCTGCCCCACCCCTTTCCCTTTTGGTAACCATAAGTTTGTTTCCTGTCTGTGAGTCTATTGCTGTTTTGTAAATAAGATCATTTGTATCTTTTTTTTTCATTCCACATGTAGGTGATATCATATGATATTTATCTTTGTCTGACTTACTTCATTTAGTATGATGATCTCTAGGTCCATCCATGTTGCTGCAAATGGTATTATTTCATTCTTTTTTATGGCTGAATAGTATATTTATACTACATCTTCTTTATCCAGTCATCCTTCAGTGGACATTTAGGTTGCTTCCATGTCTGCTTAGCAAATAGTGCTGCATGAACATTGGGGTGCATGTAACTTTTCAAATGAGTGTTTTTGTTTCCTTTGGATATATACCTAGAAGTGGAATTACTAGATCATATGGTAGTTCTATTTTTAGTTTTTTGAAGAACCTCCATACAGCTCTCTATAGTGGCTGCATCAATTTACATTCCCACCAACAACAGTATAGGAAGGTTCCCTTTTTTCCACACGCTCTCCAGCATTTATTATTGGCCATTCTGACTGGTGTGGGGTGATACCTCATTGTAGTTTTGATTTTCATTTCTCTAATAATTAGTGATGTTGAACATTTTTTCATGTGCTTGTTGGCCATCTGTGTGTCTTCTTTGGAGAAATGTCTAAGCCTTCTGCCCATTTTTTGATTTGGTAGTTTGCTTGATATTGAGCTGTATGAACTGTTTGTATATTTTGGATATTAAGCCCTTGTCAGTTGCATTGTTTGTCAATATTTTCTTCTAGTCCATAAGTTGTCTTTTTGTTTGGTTTATGGTTTCCTTTGCTGTCCAAAAGCCTTTAGGTTTAATTAGGTCCCATTTGTTTATTTTTGCTTTTACTTCCATTACTCTAGGAGATGGCTCCAAAAAAATATTGCTGCAATTTATGTCAAAGAGTGTCCTGCCTGTTTTGCTCTAGGAGTTTTATAGTACCCAGTCTAACATTTAGGTCTTTAATCCATTTTGAGTTTCTTTTTGTATATGGTGTTAGAGAATGTTCTAATTTCAGTCTTTTACATGTAGCTGTCCAGTTTTTCCCAGCACCACTTATTGAAGAGACTATCTTTTCTCCATTGTGTATTCTTGCCTCATTTGTCATAGATTAATTGACCAAAGTGCATGGGTTTGTTTCTGGACTTTCTATCCTGTTCCATTGATCCAAGTGTCTGTTTTAGTGCCAGTACCATACTGTCTTGATTCCTATAGCTTTGTAGTATAGTCTGAAGTCAGGGACCGGGATTCCTCCAGCTCCGTTCTTCTTGATTCTGCAAGGCGTACCCCGAGGAAAAATAGTAGCAGAGACGGTGGGATAGGAGAGAAGGAGAAGGATATTTGTGTGTGCGCCTAAAGGCAGGCTTCCAATATTTCCCTTAAAAAAAAAGCCTTTGTCTTTATAAAATGTCATCCAATACTCAAAGTAGTCAGCAGTGACCCCTTTTTCTCACTTGCCTTTTCTAACAAGTCAGTCACCTCATCCTGTCAATTGTTGCCTAGAATTGTATCTCCCATTTGTATCTTCCTTTGTCATCCCCAGGCAGCCTCACCCATAGCCTGGGAGAATAACCTTAAAAACTACGTTTGTGAATGAATGAATTTCTTTATTATATAAATTACATATGTTTACTCTAGATACTTTAGAAAAATCAGGTAAGAAAAAGGGAAGAAAAAAATTATTATATTGAATTCCACTGCTTTGGAATAATCACTGTCAACATTTTGGTATATACACCTCCATGTGTGTGTGTGTGTGTGTGTGTGTATGTGGAATCATGCAATTTATCTCACATGGTAAATATCTGTTCCTATCAATGAATAGGCCATTACAACAGGATTATTAATAAATGTGTAGTTTTCTATTACATGACTATGATGCCATTTATTTACTTAACCTCCTGTTGTCAGGAGCCTGGCATCTGCAACCTCAATGAATCACTTTTTCTTTTCTAAGACCATTATCACTCTAGCCAAGTAAGATTTAAATTTAGAGAAATAAATGAAACCCAGAGCCTTGCTGTTTTTTAAGTGGACTTATGTGTGGGCGTGACAATAACTTTTAGAGGCACTGTAACATGTTATATGTTTTCACTCAAGAAAATTTGTCATATGAAGTTTGTAGCTTTATTGAAATGCTGAAAAGACCTGGACTAAACTGGAAATCAGCTTTTAAATATTCAAGGAAATTGGTTCACTAAATGTGTAGTTTGACTTATTAATTGCATAATAGTGTTTAAATATTTGGGAAAATGTGCTTAATCAATGTAAAAGCTTAATAACCTGAACATTAAACAAAAGTAAGTAGTGATAAGTGTTCCTTCCACTCCAGAAGCCCCTGAGACATTGAAGATCCTAGGCAACAGACAAAACAGGTACTGTCTAATGGATTTAACCAACAGTACTTGGAGCAAAAATGCATGAGGTCTGGCTGTTACTGTTGAAAACAAAATCCAAACTAACGTGCTTAGCAGGAAAACCCAGTTAACAACTTCATGGGTTGTCTTTTATGACCATGTCTTTTGACAAAGATTAATATATAATTTGTGGTTTGATTAGGTTTGAATCACAGACAAATATTTTGCCACATCCCCCTCTCTAATATAAGTCCAAGGTTTGCTCCTTTAAAACATTTCTGAGGTCAGGTTTTTAAGTGAGGGGAACTGAGAGGTGAGGGTTTTACAGAAAGAGTAGGCCAAGTTATCCAGCTGATCATAGGACTTTTAAGAAAAGGGAAGATTAATATTCAATTTTATGTTTTGTTGATGCTAAACCCTTCCATCTGCCCTAGATGTTCCGTTAAAGTTGTATTATAAACAGATATTTCCGAGGGTTAAGTCATTTCACTTCATAGAGCTACCAGTGAAAGAACAAGCTAAATTGTCCATCGATGCTAACGTAGTATAATTACTGGATGTATCAATAATTCTTCTTGCTGCTGACAGCAGCCAAGATGCAGTTATTTTTCTGGCATGGTCACTTGGACTTGCCACTTGGCTGGCTGATCTAAGATGCTCTGAGGATTCTCTCAGGTCTTAGGAGCTAATAATGCTTAGGGATTTTGTGTCCTGAAGAATTCTTTAATCCCACGCTTCCTGAATCCCAGCCTAAGCCAGGACCTTCTGTCACATCCAAAGAGTTACAGGCCGTTTGAAAGCTCTGCTAAATCTTTCTGCTTCGCCTTTAGGGTCCTGGGAGGGGCCCCTTAGGGCTTCCCCAGTAACTTGGGCCAGGATGTATCCCCTTCTTGGAACTCTACCTCTGGTGATGCTCTGAGGGTCTTCCTTTCTGAACAATAGCGGAAAAGCAAGCCACACCATGGGTGAGATCAGCCAAGAGACGGTGGAGAAATACCTGGAGGACAACCCTCAGTTTGCCAAGGAGTACTTCGACAAGAAGCTGCGGGCAGAAGCCCCAGGAGAAATCTCGGAGCCTGGCAGGGCCCATGTGCCCGCCAGTGCATCCTTCCCTGGCCTGACCCTGGCGGAGGAGGCGGCCCTGTGCCTGGAGCTGCTGGGGGTCCTGCGGGAGGAGGCGGGCAGCGCGGAGCTGGCGGTGCACAGGGCGCTGCAGAGGCTGGTGCGGCTGGTGCAGGCCGACCGCTGCAGCATGTTCTTGTGCCGGGCCCGCAACGGCACCCCCGAGGTGGCCTCTAAGCTGCTCGATGTCACTCCCACCTCCAGGTTTGAGGACAACCTGGTGGTCCCCGACAAAGAAGCTGTGTTTCCGCTGGATGTCGGGATAGTGGGTTGGGTTGCCCACACAAAGAAAACCTTTAATGTCCCAGATGTGAAAAAGGTAAGTGGCCTGATGACAATGGAGTGGAGATGAGGTCTTGGCGCGGGGGTGGGAGTTGGGGGGGTGCGGGTTGGGGGTGGTCCTGGGAAAGAGAGTGGGGTCCAGAGACCATCCTTGTGGTACTGGTTTGGCTGTAACCTGGGGAGTGCAGTGGTGGGGAAGAGGTACACCCAGGCCAAGAGTTGCCAGATTTAGCAAATAAAATGACAAGCTGCCCAGATCTGAGTTTCAGATCAACAATCCATAATGTTTTAGTATAAGTGTGTCCCATGTGATTTAGGGCATTTTATCAGGCAACGTTCCCTGGGTCTGGTGCAGTCCACACCTGCGCTCTTACACCTCCTCTGTGCTCTGGGCACTGTCCTGACCAACAGGGCAAAGCAGGCCGCCCACTGGTGAGATCAGCCAAGACGTCAGATGCCAAGGCCCCTGAACGGCTCCCCACGCCTCTCACCCACAATCCTTTGAAGACACTCAGCTCTTTGGGATGAATTGGCTCATGAATGGATTCTCTCACCTATAGACCAAATGTGCGAAAAGAAAGTTCGGATCTGGATCATTAAACATTTGAATTTAGGGGATGATTAAATACAACTGGCCATCTCAACCCCTCATAACTCAGATCTACCAAGAACGAATTCCAATCCTGTAAATGGAACATTTGGACCCTCATGAAGACCAGTCTCACACAGTGTGTAACTTATTATGCTCTTTTAAAAGCAGAAAAATTAACTTTCTGCTTACCACCTCAATGCTTGTTCAGTTTTGAAAAATTTGAAAATATAAATAAACAAAAACGAAATGCAAATCACCCATAATCCCTCCACTTGGCCATAACCATAGGTCGCAGCCCAGGAGTTTCTCCTGCCAGCCCTTTTCCTACGCAAGTGTCCCAGCATTTTGATTTGCTGTTAACAAAGAGGAGATTTAGATGGTGATGGAACAGAATTGATTGGGAGCAGCCTCTGAAATGCTTTCTGAGTAGAGGTTTATTGTCGGCTCGGCTGGTGGAGGGGGCAGCTGGAAGCAGAGGATAATCCCCTCCAGGCCTCCTGAAGCTGATTACAGGAGGGGGCCTCAGGGATCCACAAGGCGCAGAAGTTGTCAAACATTAGCTATACCACTCGGCAAACAGCTACAGGACAGCCCGGAGGGGCAAGGGTTGCTGTTGGTCACCAGAGAGTCCTCAGGCTTTACCATCCCTCCCTGCAGTGAGTTTAAGCTGGTTTAGGTGGGATTCTGAGGCCCACTGCAGCTGCTTCCGGTGGCTAAACTGACCCGTGCCCTCAAGGCAAACTTCTCTGATCCCAGCTAGGAGGCTCTGCCCACACACCCTGAGGTTTTCTTGCGGGAGTATTCGTCTTGCCAGTCTCCGACTGAGGCCATCTTCGAAATAACTAGGACAGTGAATTTAAGAAAGTGATACGCAAGATTTTTTTTTTTCTGAAGAGAATTTCTTTTTCAAGAAGAAATGGATAAGGCGAGGGATATAGCTCAGTGGGAGCATGCACAGGATCCTGGGTTCAATCCCTAGCACCTCCATTTAAAAAAAGAAGAAATGAGTATAATGACTTCTGCTGTACCCATTTCCCCATGTTGAGGACAGAATAATAGAATGGAGCTGCTTAAGAAATTAGGTGGCCTGAGTCTGCAGCTGGCTGTGATGAGTGCCCCGCGTGGACAGGGCAGTAAATGGTGGGGGAGGAGGGAGTGGGGCATTTCTTTTGGTCCTCATTCCCTTCTCCTGAGGATGTGTGAAGATATACATTCCCCTGAGCTCAGGGACAAAGGCCTCATTTGTTCTCCATTTCTACTGCTTCTAAGCACATTTTTTTCCTCCGAGAATGGTGCTCTTCAACTCTAGATGCATGTTAAAATCAAACTGTGAGCTTTTCTAAAAATACAGATGTCTGAGACTTCCAGTAGACCAGTTACACCAGACTCACAGAGGTTGGGGCACAGCCAGGAGTATGTTTTAAAAGCTCCCCAGGGACTCAAATATGCAGCCAATGTTGAAAACCACCCGCCTATTGAGTGAGCAGATGCAAGAGGGAGGAAGCGGATTTCAAACAAACTGTGGACAATTAGATGGAAGGGGCCCCTGGAGTTGTTAGTTTAACTCTTCCCTTGGGTGGACCGGAGGTTGAGGTCATGGGGGATATGTCTCTTCAGAGTCCAGGGCCTGTTGTCAAGAGGGCTGGACAAGACAAGGCCTCCTCACTGTGTCCAGGCTCTTCCTGCCCGCACCCTACCCCACAGCCCTGCAGTTTCACCGCACTTAAGTCGCTTCGGTAAAATCTGCGAAGAGAAAGGCGTTGGAAACCAATGATTTGAGTGGCATTTCTATTAGTGCTGCTCCTGTCCTTTCTCTTACTCTTTCTCTCACTTGATTCTGGCAAAGACCCTGCACAGAAGGCAAGGACCATATTTTTATTTCCATCCATTGTATGTGAGAATCTTTTCCAGGTCAATTAGGCAGGATGTGGTGGGTATGGGATCATAACCCAGGGCTTCCCAGCCCTCCCTCTTTGGTCACAGCCCTGACAGCACACAATCTCTCTCTGGTTGGCAGTGTGGGCGTGGGGGAGGGAGGACTTCTCGCACATGGACCAGGAGGTGGAACCGGACACTCCCCGCCTTGGTAACAGGGGAGCCACGTGGTGTCGGGTGAGCGCTTTGGCATCAGGCAACCTGGGCACAGATCCAGGTGTGAGTCTAGGTAACCTCGTGATGGATTGTGTTTCCGCACCTGAGAAACAGAGGTGACCAAATGTGCAGATGAAATGTCTGTAAAGTGCCTGACTCCTAGTAGGTACTCAATGAATGACAGCTATGATAACATTATATTAACGCCAAGAGAAGTTGGGGGCGGGGTGTGGGTGGCCAAAACCGGGTCAATGATTATTGCCTGTTTTTAAAACAGGTTAAAGGCAAGGAAACTTAATAACAGGAAACTGAGACATCTTCTCCAGTTAATCATTTCTTACTGTATTGGGAAAGCTGCTTAGGAACTCTATGGGTGGTTCTCCTCACTGTGGTTTAAAAGAAAGCCACAGGAGAACCCTGTTTTCAATAATTAACAGGGTGCTTATAGCTCCCTCTCCTCCCTCTTCTCTTTCTGACTGCCGATCTCGAGGTGTTTAATCAGAATTTAACCATCCAGGTGGCCCGCTGCTTGAACCAATGTTCTCAGTTGTCTTCATTGGCTTCTTGGAAGGACCATCAAATGAGTTTGTGAATCTGAAAGATACAAGATTTACTGAAAAAAAAAACTTCAGCAAGCGTTGTTTAAACCAGTGAAAATAAAAAACCAGAAAACCTCACTTCACCTATCCTGTGTTGGTAGATTGGCAGATGGTTTTATCCAGCATTTTCAGATACAGTGATAAGCAAGCATTACATTTTAAAACTTACAAGCCATTTTCTCAAAGTGGCCGATTGAACATAAGAACATTTCCTTCTGCTTAGAATCTAGAATAAAATAGCATCAGAATTTGAAGCTGCAGAATGAAGTGTGTTTGCAAAGAAATGCTGCCTGACTCCATCCCACGGTGCATATTTTGGGCATTTTGGTTATTCCTTTAGGGCCCAGTATCTCTGTGTGAATGAAAGTGATCATGCTCTGTAGTGGGTAATAGGTTAGGAGGGAAATGGACAGCAAGCCAGCCTGGCCTAGCAGTGGATTAAGAGAATGGACGTCCCAAAGTCTGGAGACATTCTGGTCTGAGAGTGAAGCTGCTACAGGAAGCAGAGAGAAGTCGCCGATAAAGTAGTTAGGAAAGAGAGGTGGCTCTGGTTGGTGGGGGTGGAGAGCTGGCCCTCAGGATCAAATGTGCTAAAAGTATCTGATTTCTTTAGTGATTAGAACTGGTTCCAAAAGCTAGGAGCAGAAGCAAAATGTAATTGCACTTCTCATCCAAGGAGGCCTCCAAGGTCCCAGGTTTCTCTTCCCAGGATTTACTGAGCACCTACTATGTGTCAGATCCTTTTCTAAGTGCGCTGCCTGCACTGTGTCATTCTCTCTTCACATCAGAGACTTGAGACAATACTTACAATCGTCGTTCCCATCTTCAGATTAAACAGCAAGGACGCAGAGGGCAAGCAGCATGCCCAGCGTCTCACAGCTAGTTAACTGGGGCCTGGTTTTAGCCAAAGAAGTCTGACCGCAGAACCTTCTTCATTGCGCAATGCTGCCTCCTACGTAAGTAGTTGGGTTGTGTGGCTCCACCTTGGGCAGGTGGAGAAGGGATCTGGGGTCATCCGAGTCCCTTAGCAGCTCCCATTTTTAAGGATCCTCCACAGAACTGAATCATCCACTACAAGTACAGATTCCACTGTAGGAAGTCAGGATTTGGCGGGTCTGCCGTGGGGTCTGTGAATCTGCATCCATCTACCGTGATTCTGAGGCTCAGCCCAGGTCTGCTGCTCTGAGCTGAGCTGTGAGTTCTGCCGACCAAGCAGCCCTTGTTCCCGGCTGGAAATTCCGGCCCAGAAGTCACACACCAGTGGTCTCTCCCATTTTCACTTTTATTTTTTACTACCATCAACATGGGGCCATGAACATAATACAACTTGTAGAAGGAACCCCACGTGAATTGTGGCCACTGAACCTCAAAGTCGGGCTGAAAGTTCAGTTCTAGTTGAAGACTCAGGTTCAAAGGGGTGATAGTAAGAACCCGCCTCTACACCCAACTAGAGTGGGTGTTCCTCTCAGTTACCGCTAATAAGATAACTGCTTGACCTGCTTCTCAAGCCCTTCCACTTGCGCACCTCTCCAAACTCATCACTCTGTCCTTTCTGTGGTTAGTGTATTAGAATCATCTCTTACATCTAGTGTAGGAGGCTTGTACCTGAGATGATCCACTTCTTGTCTCCGCAAGAAAGAAATATAAATTACGAATGAAAGACACTAGCTTGATGCAACATTTAAAAACTGATAAGTGTCCGGTGCTGGTGAAAGGGTGGTCTTCTCACACATGACCAGTGGAAGTAAGAATTTAAAAGTAACTTGTGTAAATAAAAATTGCATCTCTCTGTTGATCCAGCAAAAGGAATTTCCATTTTGAGGAATCTACCACATAAAAATAAAAGTAAAAGTGATTAGTGCAGCATTGTTTGCAGTGGGGAAAACTACACACAGACAGAATCAGTAGAGGCTGGTTGGGTGGATCTTGGAGCCCCTACACTGTGGAGGAGTATGCAAGAATTTAGAAGATGGGTTCACATCCATATGCATTGGTCTGGAGGGAAGTCCATAAGGTATTGTTAGGTGATGAAAGTATTGAAAAGAAAATGTTATTGGAAAAGGAAAAGAAAAATCTTTGTCCAAGCATAGAGAAAGGCAAGGGAGGAGATATACTAAGCAGGTAACACAGATTTCCTAAGTAGGTGAGGTTAGGAGAAGTCTGCAGGATTAATCATTTCTTTCTTTACATTATGATATAGGGGTTGACTGGTTTCAAGTGTACTTTTACTTTTGCAATTGAGAAGAGCTCTAACAGGGAACTATTTTCAGTATCTTATAATAACTTATAATGGAAAAGAATATGTGTGTGAATCACTGAATCACTTTGCTGTAAACTAGAAACTAACACAACGTTGTAAATCAAATATAATTCAATTAAAAAAGAAGAGCTCTATGAAGTGGACCTGGAATCCCAGCTGTGCTCTTTCTGGCACATACTTTCTGCCTATTATAATCCTGCCCTCTCCTCCTCTTAGAACCTCACTTTCCACTTGGCCACAGCATCACCTCTTTTCTCCTGGCCCAACCTCAGCCTAACCTGGAGAGGCTGTAGCTCAGATGGGACACGCTCATTCTGAAACTGGCAGTTTCATTCCACACAATCAGAAGATGGGAGGTGGGTGGGAATGTTTGTTTGGGACCCACGTGCTAGGGCCCTGGTTATCTGTCGGTACAACTTGGACTAGAGGGAGTGATCTCTTGCCATTCCTAGATCTGCACTCCATGGTTCTGTGCTACTTTGGCAAATGTGTGAATGTATCTTTCAGAACAACCATTTTTCTGACTTCATGGACAAACAAACTGGGTATGTCACTAGGAACCTGCTGGCTACCCCCATCACGATGGGCAAGGAAGTTCTTGCTGTGGTTATGGCAGTTAACAAAGTCGAAGCAGCTGAATTTTCCAAACAGGATGAGGAGGTAATGCTAATCCTGGGCATCCCATCAGAGGCTCAGGAAACTTATTTGCTGTATAACTGAAAATAAGACGTCACCCCTCATTTGTTTTTCTCTGCCATCTGTAGGTCTTTTCCAAATACCTCAACTTTGTTTCTGTCATCCTAAAGCTTCATCATACCAACTACCTGTACAATATTGAATCCCGAAGAAGCCAGGTAAAGGGGAGGTGACATTAGTCACTCCATGCTGACCTGCTGACAAATTCAGCACAGACACTTCCTATCACTTGTGGAGGTTTAAGCCACAGAGAGTAGATCCCCAAACTTCCATCCTCAGTGTCCTCTCATGGTCCTCTTCCTGCCCTCCCACCTGGCCTTCCTGCTCCTCTGTCTGTAGGTACAGATGGCTTGCTTTCTTCAGTCTATATCCTGGGTAGGGGTGGTTCCTTCCTCTGTGAGGTGGCGATGATAATTATAGTACCTACCCCACATGGTTGTTGTGACTATTAAATGGTCATTAGATGAATTAGCTCGCATAAAGCTCTTGGCAGTTCCTGGTACGTGGTAAAGGTATTACTTTGAGAAGCATATCAGTCCTCTGAAGTGTGTTGCCTCCTTGAAGAACACCACTGGTAGCCAGGCTACCTGAGTCTGGATTGCTCTGTGGACCTCAGTTTCTTCATTAGTACGATGGTGGGAGGGTGGTTGGGATGGAGCTTCCAAGGTCCCATCCCATTGTAATTGTCCAGGTCAGGTAACCTTTGACTAGCTCGAGATGCATGGAAGGAGGCATCTGGCTTTCTTCCCAAGAGGGCCAGAAGGAGCCAGTGGGCCACCAGTACTGGACCCTCTGCCCAGGGACCGTCTCTGCATTTACTGTTATTTGTGGGAGAGGGTGAGCTCCGCATCCTTCTATTCCACCATCTTGAAGCCCTTCCTGCAGTTATTGTTAGATCACTTGCCCTTTGGAGACAAAACACTGGGACATGGGGACCAGTCATGGCTTCTCCCTTTTCATAAACCCACAGCCTTGCAGAGGTCTGCTCATCATCCCACTCAGAGAATCTGAGCAGTTTGTTGGATGTGTACACATTCAAAAATGGAATTGCAATGTTTGTTTATATGTATTCATTTTATTTGATGCACCTCTGGTTTTCTTCTGACTCTGCTCTAGTTCTTTATAGTGTGTTTTGTTCTAATTGTTTTCTTTTTAATACCTAATTTCAGATCCTTATGTGGTCAGCCAACAAAGTATTCGAAGAGCTCACAGATGTTGAGCGACAGTTTCACAAAGCGCTCTACACTGTTAGGACATATCTGAACTGCGAACGATACTCTATCGGACTGCTGGACATGACCAAGGAGAAGGTCACTGTTCTGTACATTTTGTCTCACCTAAAATCAGCTATAAAATGCACAGCACATGAAATGTGATCCATTTAAAAAATTAATACACTATGTAAACTACCAGTTACCATAGATTGTAAGAACCAGTGCCACAAAAGTATGGTATAGAGGTAAAAATGTGCGTTTTGGAGTAAAAAAGATCTAGCTTGGTTTTTCCACTTCCTAGCTATATGTCTGCAGCAAGTCTTTAAAAAAATGATGAACAGACTTTATTCTTTTAGGGTAATTTTAAGTTTACAGAAAAAATGGGCAGAAAGATCAGAGGTTTTTCCATATGTCTTCTTTCTTCCCTACCACCCTGCCTTTCCCATATTATTAACATCTTGCCTTGATGTTGTACATTTGTTACAGTTGACTAATCAATATTGATATGTTATTATTAACTAAATTCCACAGTTTACTTTGGGGGTTCAGCTCTTTGCATTGTACAGTTTTATGGGTTTTGACAAATACATAGTCATATATCTGCCATTAATAGCATACAGAACAGTTTCCCTACCCTGCAGACTCTCTGTGCTCCACCTGTTTGTCCTTCCCTCTCCCTACCCCAAGCCCCTGGCAACTACTGATATTTTTACTTCCTCTATAGCTTTGTCTTCTCCATAATGCCATATAGTTGGAATCATACAATATACAGCCTTTTCAGATTAAATGATCTCCCTTAGCAATATGCACTTACATTTCCTCCATGTGTTTTCATGGCTTGAGAGCTCATTTCTTTTTGATGCTGAATAATATTCCATTGTCTGGATACACCATAGTTTGCTTATCCATTCACCTACTGAAGAATATCTTGGTTGCTTCCAAATTTTGGCAAATATGAGTAAAGCTGCTATTAATATTGTGTGTAGATTTTTGTGTGGACATAAGTTTTTACCTCCTTTGGGTAAATACCAAGGAGGGCTAATGCTAGAAAATGTGATGAGACTGTTTAGCTTTGTAAGAAACAGCTAGATTGTCTTCCAAAGTGGCTGTGCCATTATGCATTCCCACTGGCAATAACTGAGAGTTCCTGTTGCTCCACATCCTTGCCAGCATTTGGTGTTGTCTATGTTCCAGATTTAGGTCATTCTAGTAGGTGTACAGTGGTATCTCATTGTTTTTTTAATTTGCATTTTCTCATGACATGTGATGTAGGCATTTTTTCATATGCTTATTTCCATCTGTAGGTCTTCTTTAGTGAAATGTCTGCTCAGGTCTTTTGCCCACTTTTTAATTGGGTGTTTTTTTTTTTATCATTCAGTTTTAAGAGTTATATATTTTGAATACAAATCCTGTACCGGATATGTGTTTTGCAAATATTCTCTTCTAGTCTGTGGCTTATCTTTTCAGCATCTTTTGCAGAGCAGAAGTTTTGCATTTTAATGAAGTCTAATTTTTTCATTTCTTGATGTTTCTAAAAAATCCCACCAAACACAAGTTCACTTAGATTTTCTCCTATGTCATCTTCCAGAATTTATAATTTTATATTTTCCAATTAGGTCTATGATCCATTTTGAGTTATTTTTTGTGAAAGTCATGAGATCTTTGTCTAAACTCATCTTTTTGCATGTGGATGTCCAGTTGTTCCAGTACAATTGTTGAAAAGACTATTCTTTCTTCATTGCCTTTGCTCCTTTGCCAAAGATCAGTTGATTATATTTGTCTGTGTCTATTTCTGGGCTCTCTGCTCTGTTCCACTGATGTTTTGTCTATTCTTTCAGCAGTATCACACTCTCTTGATTGCTGTAGCTGTATAGTAAGTCTCGAATTCGGGTAGTGTCAGTTCTTTGACTCTTTCTTTTCAGCAAGTTCTTTTTTAAAATTTTTAAAAATTTTAAAGATCCTTTTATTTTACTTTTTTGTTTGTTTGTTTTTGATGGTGATGGGGAAGTAATTAGGTTTGTTTGTTTATTTGTTTGTTTGTATATATGGAGGTACTGGGGATTGAACCCAGGACCTTGTTCATGCTAAGCACACACTCTCCTCACCTTCAGCAGGTTCTTTTAACCTTCTTGATTCTTGGTTCACTCATCTGTAAAATGAAGACATCTCTCATCAGTTGTGAGGGTTTGAGATTATTTAGAAATTATATATTCATATCTACCTAATCTGTATCTTTGTGGTATCTAGCACATAGTAAGGCATAATAATAAACTATATTATCATGACCAGTTTGAGGATTTATATTCTGAAAAGTTAAAATTATTTTAAAGTAGAAATAATGAAATATTTACTATTATTCACACAATATAATGCTCATTTCTTGTCTTCATTAATTGTGTTGGAGTTCTCCTAGTACAACATAACTGATGAACACCATATCATTTATATTTATTACTCCCCATGTGATTGGAAATTATTTTTTCATGGTAATTGTTCTAAGTGGATAAACACAGGATCAAGTGTCAGAAGAGCTGTGTTCTGATCCTGGCTCTGGGACTTTCTAACTGCATGTATTGATTATTCATTCTTCTGAAAATAATATAAGACCCAGCTAAAAGTATCTTTAATAATATTATGGTTATTATCTCATTTAAGAAAGTGTTCCAAAGTAGGGCAGTTCTAAGGCTGGTTAATTCAGAGCTCACTGTAAAGTCCTAGGCACTTTTCATTTTTTACCTGTCAAAATCTTTGCTACTTTCAACATAGCTAATGAGGTCTCTTCTTATGGTGGCAAGATAGCTATTGCAGCTCAAAATGCATAGACTTGACAGAATTTGAAGACATTTCCTACAAATACCATTTTTATTACTTTTCCTTTATATTAATGGAGGTACCTGGGATTGAACCGAGCACCCCGTGCATGTTGAGCATATGCTCTACCACTAAGCTATACCCGCTCCCGTCATTACTTTTCGTCGGAAAACCTTCCCCCAGAAGCCCCTTGGCAGACTTCTCCCCTTTCTTCATTGTCCAGCACTGGGCCACATACCTGCCCTCAAACTAATCCCGGCACCTTGTATAGACCACTCTCGGGCTTCTCTGAACAAATTACCACCTGATACCTAAATAAAATCAAGTTCCGTTAGCAGGGAAGAGGCGGAGAATGAATGTTGAGTAAGGCAACCCAAACTGCTGGCCACTCTGCTGACCTTGGCCAAACCTCTTAACCTTTCTGGATTTAGTTTAATTGTCTATAAAAGAGCCATTATATATTGAGGGCTTTTAACTGTGTGTCAGAGTAGGTGCTCTGTATTATTCATTTAATCCACACAATGACCCTATAGTATACATTTCATTATTATCCCCATTTTATGGATTAAAGAGGTTGACTTGTTGACAGTCACAAGTTCATAAGCAGTATTGCTGGAAGAGAGCTTCAAAATTCCAGAATTATAAATTAACATAAAACATGCCAATACATGACATTTATGTAAGATATTGTAAGTCACGGAACAGTTTGCTTAATAATGTTTAACTGTGATTGCCTCCAGGAATTCTATGATGAATGGCCAGTCAAGCTTGGAGAAGTCGAGCCTTATAAAGGTCCAAAGACACCAGATGGCAGAGTAAGTGCAAACATCTTCCTTGATGATATCTGTGCATGGTACCAGGGGCTAAAACCAGAGGAGGCCATACATAGAGGAAAGAGCATTGACCCAAGAAGTACTGAGTTCTAGTCCTGTAACTTCCTGGGAGACCTTGGAGTAGTAGAAAGAGCACTGGACAAGGAGTCTGAGGTTCAAGTCTTAGCTCTGCCCCAAGCCAGCTGGATGGCCCTCACCTTAACTCATTGTTTAACTTCTCAGTTTCCTTTCCTGTGAAGTCAGGATCTGGTGGATCAGTGCTTTTCAATAGGGAGGGAATGCAATTAGAGCCTCCTGCACAGTTTTTTAAACACACTGTGCCCAAGCCCTCTTCTACACACTGGATTGGGGTCTCTAGGGAAGGGTTGGGTTAAATTAACTTTCCCCTTTGACTGCAAGCTTCACAGGAAGCTTGTTCACTACCTTGTTCCCAGCACACAGCAAAAGAAAGGTATGGGATGGAATATTCAGGCTCTTCATCTGCCCAAAGAAGTAGAGAGACTAGTTCTCAAGTCTCTTCCAGTTTTGACAAAGTAGCCACCGAATCCTGTCTCTGAGACACCTGTTCAAATAAGCGAGTGCTGGAAGGGGGTAAGTGCTCACTGTATAGCTGGGCAGGGAAAACACTGAGGTTGAGAAATTCCATGACTTGTTCCACTGAAGTGATCAGTCAGGGATTTCCGGACAATAGAAAGAAATTAAAAGAAATTAATGGAAGGAAATTAAAAGAGAAACCAAGATCCCTCTAGAAGCTGTTTGGGTGAATTCAGCGTTCTAAAATCAGTTCAACAGGCTTGTTGATAAGTGGCCAATAATATTTCTAGTCTTATTACAAGCTTGCGTTAGGATATGAGTAGTTTAGTCATTTATATTGTGCAGAGAAATGTCGTTGGGAAATACAGCACTATTGAAATTTTAAAGTATAAGTTCATTAAGGGAAAGTGTTTTCTTTGGGAAGTAAGATTTTTCTCGTATTCTCTCTTTCCTCTTAGGAAGTCATCTTTTACAAAATCATCGATTACATTTTACATGGAAAAGAAGAGATCAAAGTCATTCCGTGAGTATTGTCATGAAACAGCTGCAGACGTTGCCCTTTTATTTCTGCACGTGGTGCATTTCTCTGTCTAGCAATGATTTTCTTTCTTCTAATCTTCCTCAAGGACCCCTCCCGCAGACCACTGGACGCTTGTTAGTGGGTTGCCAACATACGTTGCTGAAAATGGATTTGTAAGTTATTGAACAACTTTAAATCTTAAATAATGGTGGAGGAAACTCTTCTTAGCTAAGAGATCAGAGCACTTGTGAAAGCAAGAATCCCCCAGGTAAGGGTGAGGTGGCCACTTTGGCACAGGACATAGGAGAGAGGCATCCTGGCCGTCGAATGTAGGTGAACTAGAGACTCCTCAACTCTACAAGAAAATATTTGGTTGACATGAGAAGGATTGATCCATCTCCTAACTTCTTATTCTGCAGCCACACAAAGGTCAGACATCCTTTGGCAGTTTGTGACTGTGAATCATGCTGGGTTTAATTTGATATCAAGTCCAGTTCCCTTGGTCAAGACTTTTGACACATGGAACATTACTGACAAAAAAGAAAAATGCATAAAGAAAGAACTTGCTAGTTGCAGTGCAAAATGTAGTGAGTTGATAGAAGAAATGAAGATTTTTGCCCTGGGCTCTCAGGTGGGGGTGGGATGGGGTGCACATTTGGGCAGCTCTGGCTAAGAGAGGTCAGGGGTGGGAAGACAACAAACAAGAGGTCTCTGGTAGGTTCCACAGGCCTCCAGGCCAGAGGACCAGGGTACCCAGAGCTTTCCCACTTGGCCTCCACCTGGCTTTTCTTCCTTCTCACGGCTGCTTCTCTCCCTAGTTGGGTTTCTCCACTGTCTGTGTCAGATTTGGGGCAGCAAGATTACTCCCGGGAAGAATGTTCGATGCTTTCAACATTTTTTTATGTTGGCCATTTTCTTTCTTCCCCCTTCAAACCCAAGTTTCTAAAAAAACCATTTTTTTACAGCATTTATTTGCAGAGTTGTTTTCCTTTGGCGTTGTCGTGATGTTTTTGTCAGTGTTCACACATCTTCATTACAGAGTAAATGGGCACGTACGTTACAGGGACTGAAAGAGTCACCCAAGGGCCATAGGGAAAGTGAAATGAAATCTAGGTGGTCTAGTAAAAGTTTTCTCTTTTACTGTCACAAATTTGCCTCTGTTGACTGTGAAAATTTCTGGGTTCAGAATGGTAGCAGAGTAAAGAAAATTCTGTTGTGACTGCAAGGTAATCTGTATACATAGGGATGTTTCGTTCTAGGGTTTTTAAACCCTGGCCCTGTTGGTGACTAAACCCTGGGCTTAGCTGGTGACAGGACTAGGTGGCCTCACAGGTGACATGATCTCTTTCCTCAGTGTAGAGACATGCCAAAGGGGAAGAAAAGGAAAAGAAGAGAGAAGCAATCTTAGGTCTGTTAAGAATAAACAGCAATGTGTACAACAAATGTCATATTTTCAAAATTGCTCCAGAATAATTGAAATCTTTTTAAATAGCATTGTCAACTTGGTAGTAATGACCAAAACATTCCAATTCATTCCTAACTGAATCCACAGATACCACAAAAATTTTCAGCCTCACCAAATAGCCAAATAGCTTGACCACTGCTCCCAGTCCTCAGTTTGCTGGCAGCCCATCTCCCAGGCCCCTATTTAGAACTTTTATCAAGTCTGATGCTCCCAAAGCTGCCACAGCCAGTATAAAGGAATGTGTGCCCCATTTTTTAAGCACCTCTTCTCTTCTAGATGTTTCCTAGATAAACATACTATTGTCCAAAAATGAATTTGGAGAAAGCTAACACATCAAAAGCCAACTCATTGAATGGTTCACTGCCATGTCATCAATTTACCATTTAACCAATTTGCCAAAGCCAATTCCCAAAGCTGAGGAGGAATTCCACCCCCCCCCACCCCCACATTTCGTTTCTGTCACAGATTCACTGCATTTTCTTTACTGCTGCCTTTCAGATCTCAGCTCCTGCCCTTGGCCCCACCCCGGCTCTTATCCCTTCTGCTGGTAGCCCAAGACTGATGGCAAACTGGTGTAAATCTAGTTTAAGGTATTTCTCACCAAATTGCTCATCAGGCAAATTAGCATTCCCTGAGTGATTTTCAGAGACTAGAGCCATTTCCCGGGACTCCAGAACTGGGGTGAACATATATCCCATTTGGTATGGAACAACCTCTATTTATGCCTGTTGTCCTCATGAGTTATTAATAGTCTTCCCTGTCACTCTCTAATGTGTCACCCTATACTATGTACTTGCAAGAGGCAGGATGCACTAAAAATATACTTTTTGTGTGTAGTACAGGATTTCTCACACTTGCCACTACTGACATTTGGGGCTAGATAATTCACTGTAGTGGGGGGCTGTCCTCTGCTTTGTAGGGTTTTTAGCAGCCTCCTTGCCCTCTACCAATTAGGTACCAGTAGCTCCACCCTGCTTGTGACAAACCAAAATGTCTCAGATATTTGCTAAGTGAACCTGGAGGGTAAAATCACCCTTGGCTGAAACCCACTGGCCTAGAGGGTATCAAACATTTCAGCAGACCCAGCCAGCCCAGTGCCATCCCTGGGTGCCTCCTATAATATGGGGGTGGGTTCTGGGGAAGAGAGCAAGAGGCTGTGACTCAGGAGCCCCAGGTGCAATGACCCAGGCCTGCCTTGGGCAAATCCCTTGACCAATCTGGGTATGTATGTATTTAATACTTTAATGTATTTTAATAGCAAACTTACAGGAATAGCACAGAAGACAGACAACATTAAAAATACATACTTGCAACTAGCTGTTCAGACCAAGGAGAGGAGGAAGCTAAGAGAAAGGCCTTTCTGCCCAGGGAAGGAGTGGCCGCAATTTTCTTTCTTTTCTTTTGTTTTCCTTCTTTCTTTTTTTTTCTGATGTGGGATCTGGGTGGAAGAAGATGGCTAAGGGGCAGGAAGAAAAAGCCAGACAGCCTTTTACGGTCACCAAGGTAAATATTCACTATAAGACATAGCTTTAATACCAAATTCAGAGGCTATTGCTCACACCCATAAGGAGAAGAAATCATTCCATTTTTGGTAATTTTGAATTATCCTTAAATTGGCTCAAATCCACAAATGGGTCTTAATAAGAGGCTATTTCTTCCCACCAAAGTTATATAAGATTCTTGAATCATAGCATTTTAAAGTTGGAAGGCATTTTCACAATTAAGTTCAAGCTTTTCCTTTCAAAGATGAAGAAGGAGAAGCTCCAAGAGGTTGTGATGTTCAAATTCGTGGACTGAAACTAGATCTGGGATGTCTGGGGAGGGTGCTGATGGATCACCTCTCCTGGCGAGGGGTGGGGAAAGCCCTCATTTGTATCATTTGCCAGTTGCCATGTTGTAGCTCCACCATGGGGATTTCAAGCTTCCAACAGTTTAACAACTTGCTCACCAAATTCCTGAAGATCGAATCATCAGGTGAGTAGGGAGGAGCAGGCTTCTACACCCACTACACTAACGCTGGGACCCCTCTGGCACAAGAGAAGTGCTTTCTGAGAGTGGTTGAGCCACGTCAGCTATTTTTGTATTACTCTTACAAAGCAAGTGTGAAAATCTTGCAAAGTTTTTGTTATTAGATATAGCTTAGGAATTTAAGGATTCATTTGTGATACGCATTAATTTTATGATCTAAGTTGAGTAACATGAACTGATTGGCTGAGCATCCTTCAGGTGTGTTTTAAAGAGGCAAGAAGCAGTTTAGTTCTCTTTTCTGACCTTTCCATCGACAATACCTGTTTTAGTCCAGACTTTTCAGGCCTCCAGAGAACATCTACAGTCGGGTTAGGTCCTAGAGACCAAGCTTTTTACTCAATATCCAAAAATCCTGTCTTCCTCCCATCTCTTAAGTTTATAGGTCAAATTGAGTCCAGCTTGGTTTTATCCTGTATTGAATGCCTCCAATTCTACAAATGTAGTTCTACAGACCAATTTTCGTTTTTAATGTCTAATGTTTTCAACTCTAAAAAGTGACTGAAGTCTGCTGTTTTGCATTCAGAGCTGGGATTTACTGGCTTAGTGAGAACGCTGTGGGCATGTGTTCCCCTAAGTCCGGCGAGGCCCAGCTCGCCCGAAAGCCTGACTTTACTCTGTTAAAAAGGGTTTGTGAGAAAATTATCAAGGGAAAAGTTTGAAAAAGCTAAAAGGAAAAGTTTCAAGCAGTTTAGAGGAGTGTCAAAAATGTACAAATAATTACGATTCAAATTGCAGATCATTTTTATTATCCAGAAAATAGCATTGAAAGATTCTTGGAGGCCCCATCTCTTAAATAATTAGGTTAGGTCATAGTGAATATTTACCTTGGTGTCCCTAAACAGCTGTCTGGCTTTTGCTTCCTGCACCTTAGCTATCTTCTTCCACCCAGATCCCATATCAGAAAAAAAAGAAAGAAAGGAAACAAAAGGAAAGAAGGAAGATTGCGGCCACACTTTCCCTGGCAGAAAGGCCTTTCTCTTAGCTTCCTCTTCTCCTTGGTCGGAAGAGGTAGTTGCTTTCACTTTGGAAGAAGAATCCTTAGAGGCTGAGAGAGTAGGAAGGATCAGAGATGGGACTAAATGTCATCCAATGACTTAATTAGCGGAAGAGAAGCTAACTCTGTTACCCACCCAGGTCTCTTTAATCAATAGCAATTGGTAAGAGGCCAAAGGAGAAATTCAGGCAAGGCTTTATTGGGACTCGTGCTGCTGCAGGAGGGATGGAAAACAAGAAACAGGTGCCCTTGTTCGTTTGCTACAGGGCTGGGGTTGGGTGGGAGGGGCGAGCTGGTTCCTTAAATGGGGTGAGGGTAGGGGTGGGTCAGTGGGTGGGGCTGGAGGGGGTGGCTTAGGTGGTGCCGTGGGCTGGGATCACGCCAGCACCCTGCTTTTGCTCCAGACGCCTCAGGAGTGGCAGAGGCCTTTTTTGTATCTTACTGTAATTTGCCCCCAGCTAACCATGCAGGTAGTTATTTTTAGACCCCTAGAGCTGCTTTGTATTCTATTTCTCAAGGAGACGTTTGCTCAGATGCAAGCACTTGGGGGTAAAGGGTCCCAGGTCCTGGCCTGTCTCAGCTGCAGTGTGCTGTTGGCAAACTTGGCCTTGCTGAGGGCCCAGGGTGAGTAGTCTGCCCGCGAGCAGAGGAGAGCTAAGGAGGAAACCCTTGCCCCCGCGTTCTTTCTCATTCTGCTTTGTGGCTCCACCAGGTGATGTTTCAGCACTTTTGTCTCCTCTTGCTTTACAGATCTGTAACATGCTGAATGCCCCTGCTGATGAATACTTCACGTTTCAGGTAACTGCCCTCTGCCAGGCCTCACCGGCCAGTTAGGGGAGGAAGGCCAGCTCTGCCCCTTCTCCGTCCCCAGAGTCGGCCTATGCTCAACGGTGACCAGGAGGCACTGGATGGGGCTTCTGTCCTGCTCACCCTGGCTAGGCTGGTGGCCACCAAGTGGCAGGTTCTTCAGGGAAGGATGGAGGGAGGAGAAGGAGGAGAGTGAGTGAAGGAGACAGGGAGGGGGGTGGTCCTGCCATTTCTCCATCCTCTCCCACCCCTGGTCATCTAGTGCCTAAAACCGTGCCTGGCACACCAGGCATGTTAAGTAAGTGTTCTTTGTATGAACGATTAGCTGGACACATCCTCCCACCTGGATTCAGCCCTTTAGAGGCTTTCCTGGTCCTTCCCTGCAGTTTATTGAAGCTGTTAACAGGGAGGAAAAATACCTGCTTGTTGGGTTCTTGGGGCCTCTCTTGCTATCGGACTCTTGATTTTATCTTTCCTCCTCCAAAATCCAGAGATCCTCCTCCTACCCCCTACCCACCCAACTGCAGGGGATGAACTGGCATTTGGCCTGGCAGCTTCTCCTTCTCTGCTTTCTGGCCCTTGCTGTACTGAGTCCTGTTTCAATATCCAGTTGGAGCCCTGCCCCAGACAGGAGTAGAGAGTGCCCTCCCGGTGGGGACCACTAGTGTCTGTGTTCTGGTCCCTCACACAGACACCCCCCAGGGCCCCCACCCCTGCCCACGTGGTGAAGCCGGCCTGGGGGTGCGGGTGAGGGGTGCGCCCTCAGCAGAATTGGTCCAGGCCCAGCCCCGAGAAGCCTGCACACTTGCTCAGTTACAGGGCAGGTTTCCCCGGGCTCTGCCCGCTCGTCCCTCTGCTCACCGACATGGAAACACGCAGACTCCTTGTGCATTTGCTCCAGCTCCTTCCTCCTTGCAGCCAAAGGCTTAATCCTGACCCCTCTATGGCAGTTGGCTGCCAGGAAAGACCATAGGCAGGAAAAAGGGGACAAGGACTCTCTATAAAGTGTCTGAACCTTAAAGTCATTGTCTAAACAGGGAGGGCAGGAGAACTGGCTGCGCTCTGAGGTTTAAGGACCTGTGGCTCCCATGGGAGCAGCCCCACAGGGGCTCTGATAGCACATAAACCTCCAGCCCCTAGGAATTTCCCAGCTCCCCAAGAAACATCAGTGTGATGCCCATAAAAACTTGGTTCTCAGTCCTCTGCCTGTGGGAAAGATGACCATCCAATGGCGGCTGGGTTCAGAAATCAACTGTTAGTGCCAAGGCTACCCTTCCCATGGGCCAACACACTAACACAGGCTAGTCCTGGGAGACGCCAGATGGTTCTGACCCCGCTGTTGGCCCTAGGAATCCCTTACAGCCCTGCGAGCTTTTCTAGGACTGCACTGGGGTCTAAGACACTCTGTCCTCCTCTGTCTTAGCCCGGGCCTAGGACTGCATCTTGATGGGCTGTCAGCCTCCTCGGCTCCCGGCCCGTTTTCCTTGAGGGCATCAGCCCTGTGGATCATCCCAAGGACCCCTTCCCCACCCAGCCTCCACCCTCGAGGCCTTCCCATACTCTCTCCACCTGCTCACACCCTCCTCTATTCTCACCAGCCTTGCACCCTAGAAGTTTAATGGACAAACCAATGATTCATAGTGAACTACGGTCAGAGCAGACCTGCTAAGCCAGTGGTTCTCAAACTACGTTCCTTGGGGGGCCTGGTGGATCAGCTTCCTGTTGCTGCTGTAACAAATGACCACTTAGTGTTTCAAAGCAGCCCAGCTGAGTTACAGTTCTGGCGTCAGAAGTCCAAAATGGGCTAAATTCAAAGTCCTGGCAGGACTGAGTTCCTTTCTGGGGGAGACCCTGTCTCTCATCTTTTTCAGCTTCTGGAGGTGCCTGCATTTCTTGGCTCATGGCTCCCTTCCATCTTCAAAGCCAGCAGTTGCATCCCCCTGACTTTGCTTCTGTTGTCATGTCTCCTCTGATTTTGACCCTGACTCTTTTCTACCTCTAAGGATCCTTGTAATCAGATTAGGTCCACCTGGAAAATCCAGGATAATTTCCCTGTTTTAAGACCAGCTGATTAATAACCTCAAGTCCACCTGCTGGCTTAATGCCTTTTTCCCGTGTGAAGTAACTTGTTCAGTTTCCAGGGATTAGGAACTAGACATTTTCAGGGTGCTCTTTGAAGTGGAGTGAGGGGCTCTTTAACACCAATTAAGGTGATCCTAATTCACAGAGGAAAAAGCACATAGAATTTTCTCATTTTTAAGTTTTTGTCCTATAACTTTTCTTAAATCTTAAATCTTACCACTTTTCTGTCAGTAAGCTCTACTTAATACCAAAATACATGAACATGAACAGGTAACAAATGAATATTTACTAAAAAAACGGAGGCAGTCAGAAAAGCTTATTTTGAAAGCTTTTAAAAAATATATACATGAGTGCTTATGGTTGTGAAGTTATTTTGCACAAAGTTAGTACAGTTTCTATTGATTTTTGTCTCTTGTCCATGTGACGAAATAAGTATATAAATACTTCACAGTATTTTCCAAAAATGAAGACTTTGACTGGTCTTTTTCCCAAAGCTTTGACCATGAGGACTTATGTGCTGAGGTTTGGTTTCTCTGCTTTTCATTCCAAGCCTGAAGACAAGCTCTTCAGTTAATAAGGCAGTTGTTTACTGAGCCCCTGTCATATACTCAGCACTGTCCAGTCACGTATGTGGAATTCAACTGTTTATGAAACAGCTCTTTGGTTAAGATTAAGAAATAGCCCCAGTACAAAAATCAACAGTTCTGCAGCATCTGGAAATTATCTAAATGCTAAACTGTATGGTCCAGGCTAGAAGTGCTCATGAAACTCTGAAAGGGAAAAGTTCCACGTGGGTGAAAAAAGAGAAGGCTTCATGGGAGAGGTGAGACTTAATTTGAGTCTCTAACGATGAGTGAATAAGCAGGGGTGGGAGGGAGGAGTGTGGTGTGGTGAGTGCTTGGCTGCCGTTGCCTTGTTGCGCACTGTGCAGGTGCCAAGCCATGGCTCCTGGGCTTCAGAGGGCGTCATAATTACCTGGGGGGCTTATCTAGGATGCATGCCCAGAGATAATGAAACAAGCTAAAAAGAAAAAAAAATCTGATCAGTTGATCCTTGGACTACACTTTGAGAAACACTCCTGAACTTCTGTGTCTGCATTCCCCACTAGACTGTTACCTGGAAGTTAGGGCCTGTAATTTATTTATCTTTCTACCCCCAGCAACTAGCCCAGATCCTGGCACATCACAGGGGCTTGACAGATATTTACTAAATAGAACCACACTACAGAACATAAGACGATCTTGATGGATCAGTCAGGAGGACAGAAACTACACTAGGTATTTCAAAAGAGAGAATTTAATATAAGCAATTAGCTAAACAGATGCTGGAGGAC